ATTTCTCAATTTGACAGCCTTTTCGAAATATATTGCATTGTCACTTGTGGCAGACTCTTAAGTAGCTGCTAGATGTGGCAAGTGCAAGTAATTTTTAAAAGTCTGTAAAACTGAAGAATTTCCAAAAGTGTTACATTCAAAGTGACTTTCGAAAGCAGTTTTTATTTCCAAAAATCAAACTTTCTGATACTACTTTTTGGCTGTTTACTCAGTGAATGCAGAAAATTCCACTTTCACCTGCGTTACCAGACATTTGTATCCTCATAAAAATACCTGAACCAATTAGAACAGATCTGACCGGTTGAGAAGCAGCCATTTGTAATAGCGATTGAGAAAAAAGTGTGTAACGTTCGTAATTTTGAAGTTTGCTAATTCTGTTTTGTTTCTTTCTTTGTGTATTTTGTCGGTGTTTTCTTTCAGTGATCGGCCGCTGTGATTTACTTAATTATCGATAAAATTTTAGTCAATATCTCGGAAACTAAAGGAGATATTTAAATACATAACACCAATTGAAAGATCATATGTCAAAATATATAACTGCATCTGTTTCAGTTGCAGTTACATCTCGAAATTTTTATTTTCGAAAGTCATTCCTGCAAATCTGCAAAAAGGACTTTCTGGCTGTTTACACCGAAAAGTTGCCTTTCGATTTAGTGTTGACATGTTGTAAAAAAAAATTCGTTTGCATTGCCACGTTTAACCACACCTTTATGTTTGCACTAAAAAGTGCTTTCGCTTTCGCATTTTGACAGCTAAATGCTTAGAAAAAGCGCTTGCATTGCCACGTCTAGCCGCGCATGACGGACGAGTACCAGAAAACGAATGCAAAAACATCCGCACTTACAAAAACAAAAACTACATTACCAAATTTGTAATTTTCTCGCACTCACTTCGTTTTTCTCTCAAACATTTATTTATCCTTCCGTCTTTTGGCATATTCCGCTGCTTGCATCCACCTTGTGCACTCAATTTCCAATTGGACTAACAAACAGAGCAAGCGGGATGGCACCAATGTTCAGCCTTCGCCACTCGGCCTTTCCCACCAAAAATTTTCGACGCGCCAACACTGAACGCACCTCATCAAAAGATACGTCGCGAATGCAAAAATTTTCCAAACGTATCTACGGCGTCATAAATGCTAAACTTTGCACGAATTTCATATACATTTCGTAGCGGGGCCCTTAAATTTAAATTTGAACTATAATTTACCCACTTTACTTGCGATTTTTGGGCAAAATTTATTGTTTTTCTGCAGTCGCAACACCACCGCACCAGTCAAGTGAAAGAGAACAAGAAAACTGTGTAGGAGTTGCCACGCTTTTAATCACGTTTTCACGGTACAGTGGTTTTTTAATGGGTCTTTATCACATGCATTCATTCTTGCTACTAGTTGGCAACGCGATAATGTTCGCTTTCACATACCTTCTTGATACCTACATTGCCCGGTGTTTGCTCATCATTGGAAAATTTTTCCTTCGACGGATTTGCAATAAATCGTGTTCTGTGATCATCGTATCTCAAAATAAATCTGTTAAAAAAATATTATTGCATATATTTGCAATAGAGTTGACGCTCTACCTAGAAGGGGTTCGTTACTGAGAATTTTCCATCTTCACAATAGCCCCGTCAGCAGTTTTGCGAAAAATCAATTGAAAGTGAAAATTTTCAATTTGCTCATTCCTATTGGAATTCTGTGAATTTTCCGATATGTCTGCAACTGGTGATTGTTTTATAGTGCAAACTCCAAATACTGCTGAAAACACCATCATCCTTGGACGCAATGCGCTGGATGCGGATGCTGTGACAGAAACGCAAGAGGTTCACTACTACGATGCTAGTACTGCACTCGAGGGCAAGGTAAGTGAAGGCTGCATGTTGGTTGATTGTCTGATGATGAGTAATCTTTGGCGAATTTGATCATTGGCTTATGACGTGTCATTTTCGTTTTTTTTTTTTTTTTGTAAAATTCTTCAACAACATAACCAGCCCGATGGTGGCGCAGATGTTATTAAAGCAAATGGTGAAATTATGCGTGTGATATTGCAAAAATCTCGAACTGGCGCTTGGGGCGGTGACGTCGGGGCCAACGACCGCAACGTATCTGTAGCCGTGTCTTGGGCAGCGCAAGAGCCTGCTAGCGATAGTGATACTCTGTGTTCGACTGATATCGTACGGTGAGTATTCGTATTTTTTTTTTTAAGAACTACCTCGGCCTGTAATATCCTTTATACTAAGCTTTCATACTTTTTCGTTTTCGTTACAGTTTAACTTTAGCCATCGCCAACAATGCTGCAGATGCAGTGGAACGCATTGGCTTATTGGTTAGTAATCATAGCCCTGACGATGCGAAATACAGTTTCGTTGTCTGTGATCCTAGCGAAGTTTGGCTGGTTAGCAGCGGTGGTAAGTTGTGGGCAGCACAACGTGTCGCTGATGGTATGCTTCGTATAAAGAGTACTGGACTTAGTGTAAAGACTACGATCGATAAATCAAGTGAGGCATTAGGAGATGCACTCAAGGGACAGGGACTATGGGATGGAGAGGTAAATCATTTGTCATAAATCATTTGTTAAGGAAAAATATGATTGTAATTTTCCATGCAAATTCTAGGGAGACTTAAATTTCGCCAGCTGCTTCAGTGCCGACGACGCCACAGATATTGAATGGAGCGGTGACGCACCTCTTGGCGATGGTAGCTACACATTGACTAGCATGTTTGATACCCTACGTTCGGCTGCCGACGGTGCAACCGCTCGTTCGGCCAGTGTTTCTGTGCTTTCGACTGGCATTTCATGTCATTGGTTTACAGCAACACCCAATGCTAGCGAATCAGTCTTCAAACCATTTGTTTTTGCACAGAATCCAAAAATTTCACCACTCACCAAAGTGCCACCTGGAAACACACACACGCTCTTGCACAAATTGCATGCACAACGTAAACCAGCTGCCGTGGAAGATTTGAAAGCTCTGGAAGCTGCTTGCGTTGAAGAGTTAAACACCTATTTGGCCGAACATCCAACTGCTGATGAAGAGTTGGATGAGCTGATGAAAGACTGTGTGGAAGCAGAGGTTAAATTCTATCGTTAAAGAGGGCAATATAATAAGAAACGAACTTAGGAGCGCTCTATTTTCAAAATAGAAACTGAAGATATGACAAGAGCAAACGATAGAGTTGACTATGAACGAATAAACTATATATAGGATTATCATTGAGCAGCTTTTTGTAGCTTGGTTCTTTTTCCCCGAGAATATAACAAATATCGGGGTTTCTGACTTAAAAATTACCGAATTTTTAGTTTTTACATTACTCAAGTGATATTTTCTTTTAATTTTGTAAGTGATTCCATTTATTTTCGCATTTAAGTGATTCTCATATAATGGTCATACGTAATTTTAAGTCAAAAGGTCTGATTTTTGTTAAATATATTTTTACATTATCATGTATTTGTAAGCATAGTTGCATGAAAATGCATTACATACATATATTGAAGTAAATATGTTAGTACTACTACGTTATGAAAACTTCAAACTTAAGCCGCGATTTCTTATGTTAACAATTTAATTTTAGTGTTTATGTGGTTATATGCATATGTATATGATTTAGACTACTTTTGTTTTATAGTATACGCTATTCACTGCCTCAGTTATGCTTTTGGTGTGAGTTTTTCCTTTATTTTTGTGATCTTATTTTAAATATAAGTAAATTTAAAGTATTCCAGTGCTCACATGCATTCATTTAATGAATATTATTTAATAACTTATAGAAATATATATTAATGATCGACACAAAGGCACATACACAATAAATATCATTCCACACATAAGCTTACATCATAAAAACAAATCTGACGAATTACGTATGTATATACATGCTGCATACATGTATTTGCTAAAAACTACATTGGGAATGAACAAAAAAAAAACATGCGATAAGGAATTAATGCTATGTATTCCGGCAATTAAGTTCCGATTACTTAATTGCCCCGAAATCAAATATACGAAAATAAAGAAAAATCTCGATGTACTCATAATACGAACTAAACCGCGATTATATAAATTTCATACGCATTTACATATATGTACATACATACATATTTATAGGCATACACATAAATAACTGCATGATTACGATAATGAATATGTAATGCATACATATAAATCAGTAATACCATGGAGATCATAACAAATATTTACTCTTATCCAATTCATTTAACGCTGCGCGCCGCACTGAAAGACGAATAAAAACGATTATAATTCCAATAAAGCTAAAACGCAAACATTAACGTTGTTTTAATTTAAATCTTTTTGGTGAATACGGGATATATTTTTGTAAAAAATAGGAATTTGTGGCAGACTGGCAGCGCGCAAAAAAGAATAACTTTTTGAGTGGTTGGCAACGCGGTCGATTCGCGCGGAAACGGATGCGTGTCTAGTTTTCTTTCAACAAGTGCTATGAAATAATTAAAAAATGATTGCAATTAATTTTTAGTGCTTCCATGAACAAAATGTTTATACATATATATGTAAATATTAGTTGTGTGTAAAGTGAATATAGAAAAATGCGATTACTTAGTTGCATAGAAGTTGAGTGAAAATTACACATACGAGCAAGTGCATTGGCAGAAAAAAATACTAATTGATTCGAATTAAAGTTCGGGGTAAGTGCCCATCACTTATTATTATAGAAAAGCGAATTTCAGAGGCCTCTGCATCCCTTCCATCGACAGTCAGAACGACCTAGATCACATCTATCTGTATAAGGACTTTCACTATAGTAGCATTTCCCAAAAACTCATGCCGAAACAAGTTAAGAAAACTTAACGTTAAACTATCATTCTTCACAGATATTTTAGCAAGCACTGCTACTCTAACTCTTTTTACTGAAAACTCTTTGGAAACATTGTATACTCTTATGAAAAAACATCTGACTAACATTAACGCTGAGGCAGCATTCCCAAAAAAGTTATTTAGACTGCTTACAGAAATAACAAAAAAGAAACTTGCATAAGTGCGAAACATTTATATATTTGTGTTAGTGAATTTTTAATAGATTCCACTTATTCAATAACCTTGTTGGTTTTTATAGTTTTATAAGTGTTTAAAAGGTGTATAAAATTTTGTTTAAGTAACACATTATTCTACATTTTATCTTTAACCTAAGTACTTTCGAGAAAAGAATTCAGTTCCTTCTTAAACTTCTTCTACAACGAGATTCGTTTTGAACAGCGTTTTGTCATTGTGTAAAGCTTCCATTATTAAAATTTCAAATCGTTGATAAATCTCACGAAAATCCATTATATTTGTCGGCTCCGCCTCCATCCAGAAGCGGTCGAATTCGAAAAGTAAATAGCAATAGAATTTGTGAAAATGTGCCAGTGTGCAAGGTTGATTTACCGCCTGTGCTGCGTTATAGAAATGCACTTTCGCATCGCCCGACTTGAGCAAACGATATGCCATTGCGGTGAGGTTTATACCCACTATGGCAAAGGTATAACCATAGACGGGATGTTTTGAGTGCAAGAGCACATGATGCGCTGCGTCGCGGTATTCGCGCGAGAAATACAAAAGGTTCTCCAAACCAAGTACGCCCATGCCCCGGAAATCGGTTTTGGGATCGTCACCCTAAAAATTTTTACATTTTTATAGGGATACACAAAGTTATTGATTTATGCAATATTGATTTTGTTTTTTGTTTAAATATGTATGCATACCTGAAAGCCAATATCCTGCCATTGCTTTGTAATGCGTCCTTCGAGCGGCTCTTCTGGCATTAGCCTATTCCACAACTCTAACAATTTCTGTTCGTGTTCCAAATTGTCTGCATCGTATGGCTCAGCCCGCAAGCGTTCCACCTGATGTAACAGATGCCGATAACTCCAAATTTGCAGCACACAATTGCCAAAAAGTGGCGCAAAATCTGGATGTATTTTCGCTTTTATATGCTTGGCATGCTGTACTACGCTAACGGCGCGCGCGGGTAGCTGACGCATCTCCTCATCGCTACAGCTTTCCACAGCAGTGTCCAACTCCCGCAACAGCTGCTGTATTTCAATATTTTGCGAAAGCATTAGCGAGCGTTCCACTTGGCGTGTACGACTCGCACCCGCTTGTGCGCCATATACAATGCGTTGAAGTTCACAGAGACGTGTGAATGTGTGTAAAAACCATTTGATGAAAGGTCGCAGATGGAAAAAAATCACTGGCAATATGCGTTGCAGCAGCCAATCGAAGAGAAACATTTTCGCAAGCTATCGTCAAACGTGCGTGGGCGTCGTTGTGTATCTACTTGTGAAAAGTTCTTCTACTTTGCTTTATTTTAATAATTCAGCAATGCTGCAGCAATTGTTATGGTAACGCTGTCATGGAAACTGGCGTTGGCGTACTGATATCCTCGCTGGTGTAAAATTTTGTATTTGTCCTTTGGCTGAACAAACGCACTTAGGCCACGTATGCTAAAAATTTCGGCTCCCGAAACTGCTAAATATGTGTCCTTATGTATATTTACGTGGTGCTATCAGTTGATTGCGAATTTTCTCCTCTTATCGCGCAGATGTAAATAAAAGTATTAAACCTGAATTGTCAAAATCAGCTGAGCTATTGTGGTCTTGCCATATATTTTATTTATTAATTTATGACCCCAATCACATAAGATAGAGGATTTTCCAAATAAATACCCGAATACAAATAATCACCAAAAGGCAAATTAGACGGGGAAATAATATGTGTTTTAAAATCAAGAATAAAGTGCTAAGCGAAAGAAGAGCTCAAAAAATTATCGAACACAGACAGTAATTCAGTCAAAGCTTTCAGTCTATCTTTACCTGCAAGAAGGCGCTGAATGGCATACACGATCGAACTTCGCTACCGATCCGCAGGGTTGTCATTGCTACTGCAGCTTATTTCATCCCAGCCAGGTTTGGTTTCGGACCCCTGTCCGAACTTTCCTGCTGAAGCGGCTGTTCTAGCCGATGAGCGTGACAGCCTTCGTCAGGCTGATCCCGCAAACCCTCGGGATCTAAATACGGCAGCTTGTACACATACATAAGTGGAAGAAGTGGGAAGAGTAGCTGAGGACTTGCAACTTCACCTCTGGTGTGAGTAAACTTTGGTCAACCATGAGGTCACTACCCAACCCGATGAAGCGAGACGACAGAGTCGAAATCTCTTTCGGCGATCGTGCCTTGTCGGATCCGGAGCTTTGCGCGAGCTATTTTAGCCAAAAAATCACGCTGCATCCTCCGGCGGATAAAAACAAACGTCGAGTGATCAGAAGGCTGCACAAACTGCCAACAATAAGTGCGCCTCTTGCTTTCAGCAGGGGTGATTTTCTGAAAGATGCTGAAAAAATTGGTACGTGCGGGAGTAGATTACCACACCAACCTCCTCCTCAACCTGTTAATGGCCACTCTTCTCACTCTACACAACTGGAAAATGGGGAGAGTGGTCCCACTGCTAAAACTGGGGAAACCAGCCAACAAAGGAAAGTCTTGTCGTCCCATAACCCTCCTTTCCTAGGTAGCAAAGACACTAGAGGCCTTCCCCATTACTAAACGGTCACCTCTCCGAGCTTTCGCGTTTCTTCACTGCAAGGAGCCTAACCCTCACCTCTACAAAATCCTCAGCAACACTTTTAACCACCTGGACGAAGGAGGTCAGACTGCAGCTGGGTTTTCACGTTCATGATTAACCAATTCCGACGGTGAATAACCCGAATATCCTCGGAGCCACCTTCGTCAGCTTGCTCTCCTTCTCGGCGCACACAACCGCAATTGTTAATAAAGTACAGAGCCACAACAAGGTCCTCGAGTCGCTAGCCGGCAGTACCTGGGGCAAAGACAAAAAAACGTTGCTGGTAACATACAAGGCAATAGGCCGGACGTTCATAAACTATGCAGCGCAAAACATTATTTATACAACGAGGCGAAAATGCTCTGCATTAGAGGCACAACACAATGCTCTGCAAGCAATTCTTAGTAGGGAGCCGCAAACGTGGACACGAACAGACATTTGCTTGCAGAGGAGCCCTCATCAAGGCACGAACTCACGGACGAAGTTCAGAGGTTCATAAAGCAACCTCTGGACCCGACAGCATATCGCCAGGCCTTGATCGGCATGCACAGGGACTCCAGAACTGTGAATGCCGTTATGGGCACACAACCACCTTACGTGGACGATACAGAGCTTCGTCTGCCTCGGGAGACTCGGACCACCAGAGCCCAACTTCGCTCTGGCTAGTGCAGCAGGTTAAACTCGTACCTGACCAGACTGGATGCAGATGTGCCCCATGAGTGGCCGGCATGCGTAGAGACACCCCACGACTCAAGACATCTATTCGCATGCCCACTAAACCCCACTCAACTACCGCTTCTGTATCTATGGGCGGACCCTATAGAGGCTCCACGCTTCTTGTGTGTTCAGTTAATTGAGCTTGACGACAACGATTGAGGGACTAGCCGATCTGGGCGGGGTTGTTGTAGCCTCTACAACAACAACAACAACAACACCAACCATTCTTAGATAATGTTGCTTAAACTTTGTATAAAACGACAAAAAAGTTACACAAATTTTCTCCCAAATTTCAAACTTTTTTCTCCGAAGTGGCGAATGTCCCCGTTTTCAGCCGTTGAAAACTTTACGACATACGACAACCCGGCACTTATAACAACTTGTGAACCATCTAAATATTACTTGGCGCCTACCAGCTAACGTTTCGCATTGACCGCTTTTTCCGCTATTGATTAATATACATGGCATTTTTGGCTAAGATTGTTGCAAGTCTTTTGTAAATGCTTAAACAGACGGCAGCGTTGATCCGGATTAAGCCCGAGTTAATTCCCGAGTTGATCCGGATCAACGTTGCCGTCTGTTTATGCTTTAAGACAGTTGAAAGACATAGCCCAAACACAATGAAAACGACGAGCTACGGACTACAGCTGTCAAATTATTTTAACACGTACTCTTATGTAGATAATTATTTTGGCGACGACCGGGCTACGCGACGGCTGTGGTTGTAGCCAGATTAGATCTATTTCTATTTTTCCGGCGACAGATAAGTTCCTTCCTCTTCTTTTATGTCAAACTCATACAAATTCATGATGTCGCTGCCGCGTTCAAAAAAATCATGTCGCCATCGACAAAGCGTTTAGATAATGAAGATAACAAAGTGGAAGCTGTAGCTCGTCGTTTTCAATGTGTTCAGAACTACAGTAGGCAAGATAGTTTGAAGGATTTTCATTATTCTGGCACGAAAGTCTTACAAAAAAGCTCTTTTGCTAACTTTTATGGAGAACAGCTCTTTTGAAATAAAGCACTTGTATATCATTTTGCTCGCGTTGCCCCAACAGTCGCAACAACCGCGAGGTTCGAATGCTTGTACAGACATTATTTCAAGTACAATTTTTATATTCTGTTTTTAATTTAGATTTTTTTTATTTTAAGATTTTGTTGCTTTAAACAAAATTCAAGAAATTTGTTTTATGTTATGTTATTTACTCTTGTATATAATGTTTTTTTTCTTTTTCAAATTAAATTTTTCTTTAAAGCTTTAATTTTTATATAGTGTTGCTTTAAAAAGATTTTTTTTAATAAATATATTTCCGACACAAATTGTTTAAATGGTTATATTCCCCATTTTTACAACGCTTTTATCAACTTGCAATGTTGTGCGTCCAGAAACTTTCAATGTTGTGTGTCCGACACCAAAGCAAAGCTTTAAAAAGTTCCTATAAAAAAACATAGTGCATAGGGCGACAGCTGTAGTGAATAGGGCGAGGTAGATGACATCTAGATGTCGCCCTATGTACTACGTTTGCTACAGCGGAAATAGACGACACGCCATTTTTTTAAATAAAATTAATTGGTGCTCGTTTGTATGTACATACATATGTAAATGCATGTGTGTGCACCTTTCTATTAATATCGTTGAAATATTTTAATATCTATTGCAAACTTTTATTCAGACAGGACTAAAAAGTAGAAAATAAATAATATAAAAAAAAACTTTTTAATATACAACGCTTTTATAAATGGACTAAAAAGTAGAAAATAATATTTCTCAGTCCCATAGAATTTGTTTTGATAACTTTTGATTTTGAAATTTTAGTAAAAGTCATTATAAACAATCTATGAAATTGAAAATGAAAAGCGTGGGGCGCATGTAATACACTTGAATTGATATGAAAAGTAAT